TTTTCCACTCTTCTCTTGCCTTTCTCTTTAACTATCCATGGACAACTCAAGCTCTCTCTCTCTCTCTCTCAAGGGTGGTAAGCCATGGTGATGAAAATGATAAACTAAAATATGATCCTGGAAGATAAGTTGAAGTAGGTATCTTGATAAAGTTTATTTAAGTCTCTCAACTAAGTCTAATTTGACACTTATCCCTCTTGATCACGAAACATATTTCTTAAACCTCTTTAACTTGTCATATATATATTTGAATTAACGTATGTCTTTATGTATGCATGTATGTGCTAACGAGTAAAATTTTCGAGACGAGGGATATTACAAATTTTAACTAAAATATTAATCAAGAATTAAAAAAAAACTTTAAAAATATATTTTTGATAATATTGTATTCAAAAAATAAATTTATAATTAATGGACACACTTTTATAAAAATTAATAAATTAAAAAAAATATTCTTATTTAATACTGATAAGAAGATTAATTTTTCACATTATCCGTGCAACACTGCGAATAGATAGAACAAAATCATTTCAAAATTTTATAATTTTTAATTAATTTTTTTATTTAATTATTACCATTTTTTGTGTGTTTTTCCATACAATTTACGCTTAAAAAAAACATGATTTATTTTTCTTTATTCATAGATTCTTAAATAAAAATTTGTAATAATTTAAACTTTGAAATATTAATTAAGAATTCAAAAACAAATACTTAAAAAATATATATTTTTATAAGAATATATCCAAAAAATAAAGTTACAATTAATGTTAATTCAAAATTGTTGTAACCAACATGTAATCCGATGTCATTATCATTTTCATTCTTTATTTTTTTTGTCAATAGATTTTTAGGAAAATATAAGATACAACATTGCAATAAAATACTTAGCTTTCCTAATGCGTGAATTCAGATTTTGGTTTAACATATAACTAGAAGTTATGATGTATGCTCTACCATACCCACCTAATTTGAATAATACTAATCGGTTGTCGCGCTACGTTGTAGATCGATGAGAATAAAATCAATTTTAATTTTTAATTTTTTTATTTAATAAGCTTTTTTAATTTTTTTCATAATTGTTTTGCTTAAAAAAATTATAATTCATTCTTCTTTATGGATTGATTTTAAAATAAAAACTTGTAATAATTTTAACCGAAATATTAATCAAGAATTAAAAAATAAACTTTAAAAATATATTTTTCATAATATTGTATTCAAAAAATAAATTTATAATTAATGGATATACTTTGATAAAAATTAATAAATTTTTTAAAAAATATCCTTATTTCATGCTGATGAAAAGATGAATTTTTAAAATTATTCGTGCAACGTCTGTGGGTAGATAGAACAAAATCATTTCAAAATTTTATAATTTTTTCATTAATTATTTATTTAATTGATACCTTTTTTGTGTTTTTCATAAAATTTATGCTTTACAAAACATGATTTATTCTTCTTTATTCATAGATTCTTACATAAAAATTTGTGATAATTTAAACTTGAAATATTAATTAAGAATTCAAAAACTAATAATTTAATATATATATATATATATATATATATATATATATATATATATATATATATATATATATGAAGAATGTATCCAAAAAAAAAAAAAAGTTACAATTAATGTATAGACTTACATAAAAATTAACTAATAAAAAAATAAAATTTTATTCTTATTTAGTATTGGAGAGAAGATTATTTTTAAAAAAAGTATATGCATTTGATCTCTCTCTCTCTCTCTCTCTCTCTCTATGCACACACACACACACACACACACACACAAAATAATCAATAATATTAACATAAAAAACTATATTTGAATAATTGACTGATTCCTTTAAAATTTTATTTTAATTATTTTATTTTAAATAAATTAGTTCTATAATATTAAAAAAAATTCATAGCAAATAATTTGTATTATATTGGAAGATGTATAGTTAATTTTTAATAAAAAAAGATGATTCAATATTTTTTTTATTATATGTCTTAACCATACCTATTGAATTGAGACAAATTATCCGAAATACAATTTTAACATTTTAGAATAAAAATAATTATATATTTATATATATGCAACTATAATTTAAAAATTATAAAAATTCATGATATATATTATACCAATTTATTTTTTTACAAAAAGAAAAAATAATCACGTTTTAAAATTTTATTCTAAAATTAAAATGTAGAGAAAAATAAATTATATTTATCGGTGAATAAAATTTTATATTAAAAAATATTAATTGGATGAGAATTTTTCTAAAAAATGATAAATTTAAAAAATAAATTTAAATAATAAGAATAATATAAGCTAAAGTATATATTAATTTTAAAATATAAAAAAGATTATGTGTGTTTATGTGTATATATATACATGCTGCATATTGACGAGTGTATATATACGTTGCATGAAAATAAAAGAAAAATAAAGTTAAAGATTGAAAAAAATGTTACATCACGAGGGACGACAAAAAAAATATTAAATTTACATATAAATATCCAAAAACACATAAAAAAATCACATAAAAAATTACTTAAATTATCATAAGGTAAATAGCAATTTTAAACATATGAATAGTTTATTTAAATATGAAATCTCTATGCATCTCAACCCGATGCAAATATTCCTTGGATTGAGCCCATCGCACTGGTCGTGTAATTCTTAATTCTTTGATTCCAATCTTACTTGAAAAGTTAATGGCACATGAGGGAATCCACATTACTGGTATCTATTGATACAGTGAAGTTATATGTTGGCATCTTTTATATTTGAATTTTTTGTTTCGTTTTTGAGATGCATTTTCGGACAATTGTATATTAAATTAAAATTATTTTCTTTAATTTGATGAAAAAGTAATTAAGTTAACTATTTCGGCACTCGATAATTGTAAAAATTTTATTTCTCACATTAAAATTGCACCAAATATATTATATGCAGACGAAGTTCTGACTGACTAAATGTGCACTAATATCAAAGTGGATCCAATGTTTTTTTTTAAAAAAAAAATTCAAAATTGAAAGACCCCGTTGAAAGTAGGAGTGAAAGATGGCAACTGAAATTAATTTGCAACGTTTCAATTATAGAATTGTTTTGCTGCCAGCTCGAGTTTTATTTTATTTATCTCGAGCACAAATTTACAAATAACTCGAGTTCATTCTTTTTCATTCCGAGGGTCGATTTCAAATTAAATAAAATCGAGTATGCACACTCTCTATGTTATGAGAAAAACAAATTTGAGTTGCGAAATGACAAAAAGGAAGATGAGGAGCAGAGCAGATTATATAGAGACCATTGAATGAATATCAGCTTTAGATTTGCAAAGGCAAGAGACAATGACTGCACTTCATTCGAATATGATTCTCAATTAATGTCACGGCACATTTTTGCAGAATTTCCATTTTTCTGCTACTGATTTTAGACTCATTCCATTGATGTGATCCAAAAATGACATACTTTTGCAGTGCACTTCCTCAGAGGTTGCCGTGTGGGCCGGGACTAGTTGATATTTATTTAATATAGTTTATTTTTTATTTGGTCATTTTACTCTAAACATTTTCTTAATGCGGTTCTTCTGATCATATTGGAGGAAATATAAAAATGCAGGAACGATATATATATATATATATACATACATACATACATATATATATATGTATATGATTAATCCAATTGTTGAAAACTGAAGAGATAGCACTTGGATCACAATCCACACTCATCCAAGAAGTACAGAACGAAAATTCCACGATCAGATATAAATTCTGCTCGATCAATTTCGCATTGAAAGTACAGTTTTATCAATTTGAACCAAATTATCCCCCAAATGATTCAAAGTCATTCACAGGACAAAAGGGTGCCGCTGCCTCCAACATAAGAGAGCTTTGAGTAGAAAGCAAGCAAAACAAAAGGGGCAAACAAAGACCAGCACTTTCATTTTTTTCCAATGTCAAGCAAGCATATATGCCATAATGCACAGCCAGCCCTTAAAAAAAAATGAAGGTGATAGATTATAATTATGCATACACAGGGAACAACTTCCTATCAAATAAACCTTCTATCACACCTTTTAACCTTCTTTAGCATTTCTTCACATACACCATTCTAAGCAAAGTGACTGTATAGCAAAGTGAAGCTGCTAGAGAATCAATCTTTATGGCCAACCACAGCACTTGTCCCTCATGGCCTTACTTTGAGCCATTCTATGACCTTCCAAGGGCGTCGTGACCCTCCTATGTATATATAAGCAAATGGTCAGTGTCATCTTGTAATCTTTGAAGGGTGTGGAGTTTTGAGCATAGGAGCTTTCACTTGGAAGTTTTGGTTTGTCTGAAGGGCATGGAAATAAGCAAAGCATGCAATAGAGTTTGCATTCTACTACTCTATTTGACGATTGCAGCTACTTCCTTCACTCATTGCGGTAAGCTCACTCCCCCTCAAGTCATTGCACCAATTATATATATTACATCGCTCTAGCCCTGCTTTTGGTTCAAGTTATAGATTAGTCTAGCTATCTGTGATAATTGAGTTGTAGAAATTAAATGGGCTGTCATCTTCTATAGCAATGTAGATTGTGAAAATTGGAACTCATGCTGCTAATTTATGATGCGGGCTCTGCTATCTAAGTTTTGATAACTATCTAATGAAAATAACAAAACTACAGACTTATGTGTGCTGGAATCCTTCTTCCACTGAATATTCAATGTCATTTACGAGTAATTTATGGGGAATAGATTACATTGGGGCCATTGCATAGCCGTGATATTCAGTAGTCACCATCACCTACTTCCACATCAAGCAGTATATTTATCCTCTTTAACTAATTACTAGCCAATGAGATAAATCTCAGTGCATAAGAAGCAACTGGATGGATGCTGATAACTCTAATATTAACCTTTGAGCAGATGCAAGAAGATCAACTTCGATAATCAAACATTCAAAAAAATTGAAAGCGACAAAGCGCTTTGACTTGGCTTCATTGCTTCTGCAGAAGGAAACAATGGATCCAGCAAGTGCCGGTCCCTATGTGAGCTCACCATTTACATTGCCACCTTACGATTCATTAGGACCAATTTCATTGCCCGATATTGCCCCTCCATATTGCATTTATCCTCCAAACACCCCACAAACAATTCCAACTCCAGCAGGATACACGCCATCTTCACCTCCGCCACCGGTTCTTCCCGTTGGAAACCCACCTCCAAGCCCAACCAGTGCCGTACCAGGCCCGCCCGAATTTACCCCAATTCCCAATCCACCTGAAATTGTACCTAGCCCACCTGGTGTCACTCCAAGCCCGCCCGAAGCTGTGCCTAGTCCACCCATTAGCATTCCGGGTACACCCGAAGGAGCCGTGCCTAGTCCGCCGGGTATCATTCCAGGTCCAACCATTTATGTTCCGAGCCCACCAGAAGCTGTACCTGGCCCTCCTTATTACGAGCCCAGCCCACCAAGCTATGTCCCTAGCCCGCCCACCACTTTTGTTCCATCTCCAACTGGATCTGTTCCAAGCCCACCGAGTACTTTTCACCCACCCGTGGTGTATCCACCGCCAACTGGGCCTCCATCTCCAAGAACAAGCCCATACTCAGCCTTATGGTGTGTTGCCAAGCCTTCTGTGCCCGATCCAATCATTCAGGAAGCAATGAACTATGCTTGTGGGTCTGGGGCAGATTGTGACTCGATTCAACCCAGTGGGTCGTGCTTTCAGCCCGATACATTGTTTGCACATGCTTCCTATGCTTTCAACAGTTACTGGCAGAGGACCAAAGTTGCTGGTGCCACTTGTTCCTTTGGAGGGACTGCCATGCTAGTCACCGTTGATCCAAGTGAGCCTTTTAAATCACATTCTTACATATTTCTATTTTATTATGTTTATCCCAATATATATATATATATATATAGCAATCTCTTAATTCACTAAAATAGACCTTTTATTATTTTTTTTATTTTCATTTCCTCTTCAGAAATTAGTCTTCTTTTTCTTATCTGTGCAGGCTATGATGGTTGTCATTTTGTCTACGGGTGATGAGATGGAGGTAATTCGATCTTTTGGAGACAGCAAGGAAGAGCAAAACAGTCTAAGAGACCAATCTCTTTCTCTCTCTCTCTTTTCTTCTTCTTCCTTTTTTTGAATTTCTCAATAAATTTATAGGTTCAAGCATAAATTTTGTAAGAAATGCTGCGTAGGTTTTGTTAGGTGGGTCCCAGGTAGATTTTTCTATTTCTTCTTAGGTTGTCATCCTGCTCATAGAATTCTTCTTTTGATACAAGGGACCTGTATTTCTCTCGTATGGGTTGTACAAACTGTATTAATTCGAACATATATAAGAGGCATGTCAATAAAACTACGGGTAATTCCAAATGCATATTTGATTCTCGTGCATGCACTAAATATTACATAATATATCTTTAAAGACAAAATATAAGTTAGAAGCTGAAAAAAAAAAAAAAAAACGTTACGGGACAATTTATTTGTAGAGAATAATTTTTTATTTTCTATGTATATATTTTTTTTCATTTCCAGTTTTTATTCTTTATAGGGAATGTAGCAAATGTGTTCATTTAGTGAATTTAAAAAAATATATATATTTCACTTTAAAAAAAAGAAAAACATGTTCCAAAAAAATTAAGAAAAAATTTATAAGTTTTTATTTATTTAACTTGTAATGATATTTTTTTCCTTATAATATCACACTAATTAATTTAATTGTTTCATGTAATTTATTACATGGATGGACAATTGATATTATTAATAATTTTTTCTTTGTCAACAATATAAAAAAATTCAGATGAAAACGATAATGAAAGAAATTAGTGTGACTTGTGGATGTTTTTAAAATGCTAAAGCAAAAGGGAAAAAAAACTCTTGTATTAATAGAAACTATATGTGTACTCGGTGCGTTTGTGTGATGATTTTATAAATTCGTATGGATAATAAATGATTTCTCTTACTTCAAAAAAAGATGAAAATGCTTTCTTGTCGTAAAAAGCTTAAAAAAAAATTAATAAGACAGTCTTTTTTTGGTTCACGAAGTGAGAAAGGTAGGTAGGTTATCTCACACTTTTTAACATAAAATATTATGTACATTTGGTACCATCATTTTATTTAAAAAGATCTCATTGCATCTATATTAAGACCAAAATTTAAGATTTTTTTGAAAGTAGTTATGATTATTATTATGTACATAAATATGCTATCAACTGCAAACTACAGTAGATGAAATTCGAACTCTCAATTTTATAGGTGACGGTTTTATGAAGAATTCACTTGCCATTGCTTGTTGGCAAGGAAAGAAACTTTGAAAATATTAAAAAGATATTTTTCAAAACTAATTATATGTTGGAGGATGGAAAAAACTGCCTTTTCTTCTTCTTCCCACTTCTCTAAATGCAAAAAAGAATATTGTGTTTTATTTTCTATATAAATATTTTTTTCTTAAAAAGAAGGAGTTATTTTATGCATTTAAATTTGATTTAGGACTTTTTTTTTTAACGATCTAGATCAAATAAATAAGAAGACTCTCTGATAAAAAATAACACGACACCAAAACTATTAACCACCGAATTATTATATATTTGCTTAATTTGTAATTGCAGTAATATATAGTCTTCCAGTCTAATGATTTAACTTCTTTATTTCATGAATTGGATAGGTATGATATAAAGTAATTTTTTAGTTTGAATCATAATTCAACAGCTATTTTTTCGTAAACTATTTATGACAAAAATGAGTTAAAATATTGTTTTGTTAGAAGTGTGTTTGATAAAAATAACTTAAAACAGTTTTTCAAATGAAAAAATATATTATAAGTTGGAATTCATGAGTCAAAAATTAAAAAAATTTAATTTTTGATTAAAGCAAAATATGGTAACAAACTTTTTATTCAGGTAAAAAATTATTTGTGACAAAAACATATTTATAAATTTTTTGAGAAAAAATTGAAAATACAATTTAAATTAATTTGTAAATATTATACTAAATACTATTATAACCTTAATTTTACTTGCACAGGTACGAGTAATGGTTGAAAACAGTCGTTCAAAAAATTAATCTAACAAGGTGGAAGCCATAAAATACCTTGTCGACTGGCATATAGCTAACACGACATTGGAAAGTGCCCTTAGTCAGAACGCACTATGCCGTATTGCATGATTCGCTGGCCTGGTCGTATGGCTTGACGAGTTGGAATCAAATTCGAACTCAAATAGTTATAATATTTTAATAATCTGCAGATTCAATATTTAATTTGGATCACGAGTAGATCTAACAGAGATTAGGGTAAAGAATTTTTTTTAATAACTCAACTGAAATGTTAAAACGCGTGTTAAACTTTCATAATTTCATTATATTTAATGGAAGAAAGTTGCCATTCTATATATAAAAGCAAATTGCCACTGTAGACGTTTTTTTTCATGATATCTAATTCAATATTTATCTAGAATTAATACATTCAATAAATATTTTAAAAAATCAATAATTTAATAGAGGCAAAGATTGAGAAACAAATTAGTTGCTGTTACAAAAAAAATTGATGTGGTGGTAAATAGAGTAAATTATAAATTAATTCTTATAATTTTTCAATTTTTTTAAAATCATCAAGTTGCAAAAACTAATAAATTAGTTCCTATGTTTTAAAATATATTTATAATTTAATCATTTTCTTTTCTTTTCAATTTATTTTTCCTTTTATTTTAAAAAATAAATAATATGGAAAAATTATGAGAAAAAATATTTTTAAAATAAAATAATAATAAATTAATTATGAACAATGTCAATAAAAAAAATTAATTAATTAGTTTTGAAACAAGAAAAATTATTAATTCATTTTGTAGATCTAAGATGAATAATTATAATTTACTCTTTATAAATATCATTTCAGAGTGGCTATTGATTTTTTTTTTTTTTTTCAGAATAGATAGTCATTGATTTGTAAAGAGTAAATATCACTCTCTTTTGTTTTAAAGAACAGATTAATTAGTCTTTTTAAAATAAAAAATAAAAATAAAAATTTAATTTTTTTTATTTTATTTAGTTTTTTTTTTTTTTTAAGAGTAGAAATGAAATATCCTTACTACAATATTTTTTTCCCAAATTATCCTTCCTTGTCCATTTCAAAGGACGTTTGATTTGTTGTTGTTTTGTTTTACACAAAAGAAAAGCACTAACTAGTTAAGTAAGGTGATGTGCTTGCTTTCATTAATCTACTAAACATTATCTCCGACAAGTGACGACCACTCCTTTAGTATTTGTTTAGCAGTTGATCTCCTCGTTACAATATCAATTGTTAGCGCCCACGAACCACTAAAACAACTTGTTAATGAACTCGGAGTTCCCGACATTTTTTGACAAATTTTACTTGTTCTTTAGATACTAAAATCAGCATTGAACAAAGCTTATAAACCAAAAACCAAGAAATTGAAGAAATAGGAGACACTCTTGTACTATGAAAACATGGGGTGAACATAATCGAGAGCTTCGAAAGGAAATGAGAGTAGGGAATTGAAAGAAAGAAAGATGAGGAGATCAAGGAGACTTGTCATTTTTTAAGGAGGAAAAGAGAATAAGGAGTTGAGAGAAAGAGGGATGGGAGAGGAAGGAAACCTCTCCCTTTTTCTTTTTCATCGTTTTTAGACTCTAAAACCAACACTCACTAAAGCCCATTAATCAAAAAATAAGATTGATAAAATATAAAAAAGAAAAGAATTTGTATTGATATTATGTATAACTTTACGTTAGAGAATAGTATTATTTATATACAAAGAGAAGAGCTATAGAGAGAAAAGCTGATAGTCGAGGAGAAATTTAAGTTTAAATAAGAGACCTATGATTTGTGAGTCAAAGATTGAGCATATCATTAGCATCCCCACTCCAACTCAAGGCGGTAAGGACTCGAACAACCAAAGTTTGCAAACAAGATCACAAAAATGATGATTCAAAAATGTTTTGGTGAATATATCCGCAATATGATTTTGAAAGGAGACTCGAAACAAAGTGGATGGTGCTTTGATTAACATGATAACATACAAAGTGGCAATCAATCTCCATATACTTTATACCTTCATGAAAAACATCATTGTGGCAATTTACATGACATTGAGATTGTCCCAATGAAGTGATGTAACAAAAATTTATTAAATACGCATTTCTTAAAACAACCGACAAAGCCATAGAAGCTCAAAAGTTTTGTTTGCTAAAGCTCGATGTGTAGCTTTTGTATTAGAACATGAAACAATAGTTTTCTTCTTTCTATGTCAAGATATAAAGGAGTCACCAAGGAAGACGGAATAACCGAGTAGTAGAGCATCGATCGGTTACATCATCAGCCCGATCAACATCGGAATAAGCTCATAAGTCAAGATATAAAGATATGGAATAACGATGGCTATGAAATAAAGTGCCTTAATATAATGAAGAATGCGAAAAAAACAGGTACATAATGAATGGTGTGAGGAGGGGTCATAAAGCCGACGGACAATATGAACTGCATATTCTATATCCGTATGGATAACTATAAGATAGATAAGATCGCCAATTAGTTGACAATAAAGAGTATTGTTGCCAAGAAGAGAATCATCGGAGGTCGAGAAATGATCATTTGCCTCGATAAGAGTTCTAGCAATTTTATCATCGGTAAGTCCCGCACGAAAAATGAGATTAGTAGCATATTTAGCCTATAACACGTGGTACCTTGAAGAATCAAAAGAAACCTCGAGACCTAGAAAATAACTCGGATGACCAAGATCATTCATTTCAAACTATTGGCTAAGAAAAGTCTTGAGATTATTAATGCCATATAGATAATCATTAGCAATAATCATATCATCGGCATAGAGTAATAACATAATACTCCCTTTGTAGTTTTATGAATAAAGAGTGTATGATCTAAAAGCTAGATTGAAAATCGATATGGTAAATAGTAAGTCGAGTTTGGAGAACCAAGCATGAGGTGCTTGTTTGAACCAATACAAAACCTTACAAAGATGACATGCTTTATTAAGAAGGTGATCATAACAAATAGGAGGTTGCATATAAACTTCTTATATGAGATCACGATTAAGAAAGATATTTTTTACATCTATTTGAAATAATGACTAGGGGTTAGCAAACGATTTTCGATTCGGTTCTTAACAATTTCGAGTTTGATTTTTTGTTAATCGAACACAATAAAATGAAAATCGAACCAAATCAAATTATAATTTAATTGTTAATTTTGGTTTTTCGGTATTAATCGAATTCATCAAATATTATTATTTGGTTGCTAAGAACTCGAAGGCTCCAAAAGAGTGATGCAAGATGCCCAAGCCCACCCTCACCCCACCCACAACCTCTTTATAGACTTTCAAACTCTTGAAAAATCATTCATTTTCAACATGGGATTGTGAGTTAGCAAACTCATCAATATCGCTTTATCCCACATTGGCTAGTTAAGCTTTTGAATGATAGGGGTTGGCTCATAAATCAAGGCGGACTTACTCCCTTTCTTTTTAGGATCGTGGCCGATAAAGTGGACTTTTTGGGCTTAAAAATTCATGGCCTCTTGTGGGTCGTGGTTGAAGTTAAAGAAGTATAACAAAAATCTATGAGCTAAATTCATCTATATTAAAATTTAAGTTCATTTTAATTTAAATAAAATAAAATATTTGGTTTTCGGTTGACATTGATTTAAATTTTTTAGAAACCAAAACCAAAAATCAATATAATTTTGGTTTTTTTAAGAATGAAAAACCGAACCAAAATTGGTATTTCGGTTTGATTTTTTTATTTTAATCAAAATTTGCTCACCCTTAACGATGATCAATGTTTAATAGTTATAATAATAGTAAAACTACGAATATAAGTAATTCAAGCCACTTGGAGCAAAAATTTATTCGTAATCAATACCATATTCTTGTGTAGATCATTTTGCAATAAGACGAGTTTTATACCTTTTCACGAGCATCAACTCCGGTCTTAATTTTATAAAGCCATTTGCAACTAACCGAGAGATTTATCATAAGGTGAATCAACTAAATCCCAAATGAGTGTACTAATAAGAGCTTGAAGTTCTTCAACCATTGTTTTCTACCAAAGAGGGTTAGTACTTGGTTTCATGATAAGTACAAGGTTTGAGTGGAAGATCGAAGAAGATTGAGTATCCATTGAGGATGGAACAACAATATCCATAGGTAAGTTAGATACATTAGAAGAGTTTGAAGGCTAATCAATCCTATCGTAGCAATGAGAACTTGTTGCAAAATCTTCGGAAAACAAAAAAGGTAGGATCGGTAAAAAAGGATGAAGTGGAGTTGACCTAAAATTGAGAGATGGAGGAAAACATTTTGTGCTCCCAAAAGGTAACACGATGAGATATTCTAAGATGATTAGAAATAAGGCCCTAACATCTATACTTTTATGTTCAATTCCATATCCTAGGAAACAACATAAACAAGCATGTGGTTCTAATTTGGTGTGTATGAGATTAAAGAAGAACAAAACTAGCATAACCAAAGACTCGAAGTTTGATAATAAAAAACATGATCGTATAGGTATTCAAAAGGTGAGACGTTGCCTATGATAGGAGATGTAATACGTTTTATAATTGTTATGGCAATATGAGTCGCTTCCTCTTAAAAACTTTCGGGACATGAAGAGGAAATAAGTAATGCCGGAACAATATCTAAAATGTGTCTTTTTTTTTTTTTTTACTACATGACCATTTTATTGGGAAGGACTTAGATAAGAACGTTGCACTATAATGCTTTATTGGGGAAAGAATTGTGAAAGAGTGGATTCTTGATATTCCATAGCATTATATGTATGAAAAATTTTGATATGACAAGAGAATTGAGTTTTAACCATGTTAGCAAACTAGATATAAATAATGGATAAATTTGATATATTTTTTTGTAGGATAAATCCAAGTATAACGAGAATAATCATTAATAAAAATGATAAAATATCACTATCCACTCATAGTAGGAGTAGAAGTAGGAGCGAGGTCCCCAAATATCAAAATGAATTAAATCAAATGGGACGGAAGAAATAGAATCACTTATATTAAAAGGCAAAGCATGAGTTTGGAAAGTTGATATGAAACACAAGCAAAATGTTATGATTTAATAGATCCTAAACAACCACTAAAAATTAAAAGACTTAATCTAGATAAGGAAATTTAACCAAGACGAGAATGTCATAGACTTAAAAGATCAATAACAACAATTTGGGATAGAAGTTGGAGAGAGATTGGCTCAAATAGATAACCAACCTTATGTCCCGTTCCAAGGATCTTTCTCATCCGTGGATCTTGCACAACATAACTAGGACTCGAAAAATATAAATCAATACCAAGTTCACATAATTGTCTAACGTAAATGAGATTAAGGGATAATTTGAGTGGATAAAAGGTATATGGTAAAAACAATTGAGAAGTAACAATATGACATACGGTATTGACATGTAAGATAGAACTACCACTAGTATGAACAATAGGAGCAACATGAGGACATGACTGAGAGAAAAATACAATGGAGTTAGAGATCAAGTGATGCAATGTGCATAATAAGAACTAAAAGTGAGAATTATCTAGAATGACGGACATGATAGAAGAAATAAGAATACCGAGTCATGTTGAATTTGTTGAAGAAGATCTTAAAGATTTCAAAGAATAAAGTTTGGAGAAGTAGACTTATAAATAGAACCCTCAATGACAAGAACAACGAGTAAATGATCTTACAAACTAAGAGGGTTAAGTACGAGGTTTGGTTAAAGTATATTTTCTAAATTTTTTAGCTTGTAGACAACCACACTCAACAATACTATAACCTAGTTTCTTACAATATTTGTAAACGATTTTATTAGCAAAAATAGGAGTAGCAAGCATAACATTTGTAGAAGGAAAATATTGTTCAACTCGAAAAGTGATGAGACGAGTTTTCTCATAAATTAGCTCTCTTATAACCATGTTAAGTTTGGATAGTGGATTGTGGTGGAGTAGAGCACCACAAATAGATTCAAACTCAATCGTTGTACAAGATGAAGACAACGATAAAGCTAGAATTGATGAACATCATCAAAGACTTCATAACGATGATGTAAAAATCCCAAGCTTCCTTAGCGAGTATCAAAAGAAATTCCAATGTAATGCTAGAAAGACAAGTATTACAAAACCAAGTTAGTATTTGATGACTTTTCCTATCCCACTCATCTAATCTTTTAGTGAATTCAACATTATTCTTATATGTTGTTTTGGTGGGTTTAGAAATTTCTCCAATAACAAACCGTAAAAAAATATAACCTTTCAAGAAACTACACATCTCTTGAGCCAATAAATCATAATTGGTTCGATAAAAAAACAAAAATAAGATGTCTAGTAGTTTAAGGAGAATGAGAATTGTCATAAGTGTCAATGAGATAAGAAAGTATTGTGATGATGAATAAAAATAATAATAGCCAAGCTTGAAAGTAGTCTATAAGGATTGAAAAATTGGTTGGTGAGATTACAAGAGCATAAACCAAAAATGCTCATAAAAAAATGGTAAAATACCCATAAAAAATCAAATAAATGAATAAAATATAGCTCTAATATCATAATAGAATATAAAAGAAAAAATAATTTGTATTGATATTATATACAACTTTACATTAGGGAAGAGTCTTTTTTTTATATATACAAAGAGAGAAGTTATAGATAGAAAAATGGGAGGGATGAGAGATTTGAAAATAAATAGATGCCTAAATAAGAAACCATGATCTGTGGGTCAAAAATTGAACATATATTAACAAAGATAATGAAGAAATAGGAGACACACCTGCTAGGAATCAAAAGAGGACTTTTACCAAACATAAATAAATGATTAGTTTTTAAAATAAGAAAATACGAATTAATTCATTTATAAAAAAAAAGAGGCACTAATTTGTAATTTACTCATTTGAATAAGAGCACGAAATTTTCTTGGAGTACAACGGTAGACGGACAAACTCACAACGGACCGTAATGATTAATGGACCCGCCTACAGCACCGTAAACACAAACGCACCCAATCACACACGTTTGTCCGTTTCCCTTCCCTCCATATTTCAAGTTATCAGCATCTAACTATCTCTATAAAAAACCTAACAAAACCAGTCTCACGCCGCGCTCCTCTCTTAAACCCTCTTTGTATCTCCCCTCTCCACAACAACAGCTACAACCACCGTCACTGCCCCTAAAATGGCAGCAGAATTCGAAGACGGTTTTCCCGCCGAAAAGCTCTTCAACCAAGGCTATTCGCACACATACGACGACGTTATTTTCCTTCCTCACTACATAGACTTCCCAACCGATGCCGTTAACCTCTCAACTAAACTCTCTCGCAACATCCCTCTCTCTATCCCATGCGTTTCCTCTCCCATGGACACCGTTACGGAGTCCTACATGGCGGCAGCCATGGCGGCGGTCGGTGGAATTGGGATTATTCACTCTAATGTAACACCGTCTGAGCAAGCTGATATGATCAGATCCGTCAAGTCACGCCGTGTGCCTATCTTGTCGAGTCCAGTTTTTAAGGCGCCTGATTCACGGATTGTTAATGAGTTTGACGGCGATGATGTTCCTTTTGTTTTTGTCACTCAATCAGGTGAATAAAAAAATAAAAAATTAAATCATTTTTTTTTTAAATTTTCTCTAAGTATTTCTTTTCATCTCATATCATTCAGGGAATAATAAGTCGAAGTGGCTGGGATATGTGGCGAAGTCTGATTGGTTGGGGTTGAAAGATAAAGAAATAAAATTGGGAGAGATTATGCGCATGGATGCAAACGTGTCCGTGCCATGGGATTATGATTTGGGGCAGATTGATGGGAAGTTAAAAGAGGAAGGACGTGATTTTGTGGTGGTGGAGAAGGATGGAGCAGAGGTAGTGGATGTGGTGACGAAGGAGGAGGTTGAGAGGGTGAAGGGATATCCTAAGTTAGGGAAGGGAACGGTCGGGTCTGATGGGAGGTGGATGGTGGGGGCGGCGATTGGGACGAGGGAGTCGGATAAGGAGAGATTGGAGCATTTGGTGAAGGCAGGGGTTGATGTTATTGTGTTGGATAGTTCACAAGGGAATTCTATTTATCAGATTGAGATGATTAAGTATGCGAAGCAGACTTATCCCGAGTTGGATGTGATTGGTGGGAATGTGGTGACAATGAGTCAAGCACAGAATTTGATTAAGGCAGGTGTGGATGGGTTGAGAGTTGGTATGGGGTCCGGGTCTATATGCACCACGCAAGAGGTTTGTGCAGTAGGGCGAGGACAGGTAAAGAACTTAATGTTATCATGTTCTTACTTAATCTGGAAGCTTTTTACTTGAAAATCATTACTTTCGTTGGCAAATTGATTGTGGAACAATGTTTTTAGCATTTAAGAATATAAAAACGCCAAGAGAAAAGGTGTTCAAGCACAACATAGCATACGAAAATGTGTAACAGAGTACTGCAGTTCAAAGTGAATGATGCCATTGTAAATAGTTAAGATGATTTGCACATTCCTGAAAGTTGTTTTCTTGTCTTGCTACTTTCCAGGCAACTGCTGTTTACAAGGTTTCATCCATTGCTACACAAAGTGGCATTCCTGTCATCGCAGATGGTGGCATTTCATTTTCAGGGCATATTGTCAAAGCCCTGGTGCTCGGGGCTTCTACTGTAATGATGGGAAGCTTTTTGGCCGGAAGTACTGAAGCTCCTGGGTCTTATGTGTATGATAATAAGGTATGACTTGCTATGACAAAATGGCAATAGAAACTACGTTTTTAGCTTATTTCTTCAATCTTCTTTCTTGAAAGTGTTTTGTAAACGATTTCCTTTTCACCCTTTTGTTCTTTTGAAATTATTTCCCTCGAATTAAGGAGATATATGCACGAGAACTATTTCTATCATCCCTCTGGTCAGTCCAGTGCTTCCTGTCTGATTTATCATTGTTGATGTTTTTACGTTGGAGGAGTCCATAAAGCTGTGCAAGATTTTGGATAGGGAATTCAAAATCAACCTAAATGATTTTAGGAGATGATCTTGTCAGGATAATCTTCTGTGGCTGAGGTCAATCCTTGTCTTTTAACCCGTCCCTTTGAAGTAATTGTTTGCTGCAAAGCTAGGGTTGGGTTTCAGAATAGAGAGCTAAAGCGAATCTGAACATTGCTTAAAAATGAAAATTCTGCTTGTGCATATTTGTAAAAATTGGCTAGTATTGGAGTATTTGGAAGTGCTCTTACATAATGGATAACAGACGCATATTATAATTGTTAGGCAGTCTCATGAATACTTCAATTGATGTATGTTCCTACTAATATACAATGTTCTGACATTTATGCAGCATGCTTGTGGTTTATGGTTTTATACCAGTAACATGACAAAACTTTTATGTTGCTTTAAGACAAAATATGTGTGGATACATTCTTTGGCTCCGGATGCAGTTTCAGTTCTGTGAATTCTAACAATTTGCTATACCAGAATGAGTGCTGGGTTAAAAAATACCGTGGAATGGGCTCCCTTGAAGCAATGTCTAAAGGGAGTGATCAAAGATACTTGGGTGATACTGCTAAGCTAAAGATTGCTCAGGGAGTCGTGGGATCAGTTAAAGATAGAGGTTCTGTTTTGAAGTTTGTACCTTACAATATGCAAGCAGTCAAGCAAGGATTCCAGGATCTTGGCGCTTCCTCTTTGCAAGCTGCTCATGATTTATTAAGGTCAAAGACACTTAGGCTTGAGGTACGGATGCCATTCATGTACAATTGGTATCAAGATAATTCGATGGTTTTTATGCTAAAAAATAATAATATCTGTGGCTCTGTGCATGAAGCTAAAGTCTCTATCCAATCAGTATATGTGTGTAAATGTACTTTTTTATTGCGAGCTGGTTGAATTTGAAGTCGGCTATTTATATAAAGGCATAAACTGTCTTAAATGATTAAGTTGCTTGCTTCCGTTGCAAATCAACCAAAATAGATTAAGTGAAGGGTAATGCATCAACAATCATCTTAAATGCTGCATTCTCATTACTTGTGATAATATCCTCGCGGCATTGTTGAAATGGAAGTTTGATAGTGGCATGTGAGTGCAAAAGCACTTCCATTTGGGAAACTCTGATATTGGGTTAGTTCTCCCATACTATAAGTGGTTCATCGGATCCTTTATTGCCCCTGCTTATTACTCATGCGTGCTGAAGTTATTAGGGAATTTTCTGCCAATATGGTTTTTTACCTTATTCCTCTGTGTTGCTGCAGGTTCGGACAACAGCAGCCCAAGCTGAGGGTGCAGTTCATGGACTGACTTCATATAAGACGAAAGCCTTTTGAAGCTAACCCTTTCTAGCATTTAGTGCTACCGCTAATGACCAGTTCTAAATTCCCAAGTGATATTTGAGTACGAGTAGCATATAATTGAACTGCATGAATCTTGAAGGAGCTTTGCCAATTTTACATGGGCCTCTCTCGTGAAAGTCCGAGATGGTTTTTTGCTGGGATAGCCAGAAGTGCCTTCATGGTCTCTGCTCCATGTTGCCAGCCACTAGGGTACTCATCTGTCTGTATTTTTACCAATTGTGCTGTTTAAGTTTAAGAGGATCTATGAATTAGTTAAACAATTTTGTACTTCGATTCTGAAACAAATAACAATGCAGTAATTCTGTTGTTCGTGCATGATGAGTGGGAAAGGATTGGTTAATAACTGTTTTTCACTCGAACTGGCAATCGATTTGGCATGTTAGTTTGACATTTTAATATTATGAAAAGAATGGAAAGGTGTGTATTCTAAAACAAGTGGGTGTTTCCAATGGCTGGAGGCTCTGCTTCTTCCTTTCCTCTAGCAAGAAGCTTGGTCCATCCCTTGACGGTGCTTTCTTGCAATATCAATAGATTATAGTGGCAGCAGCTTTTGTATCTTCAAGAATAGTGTTGGTTGTCAGTTCTGTTTCGACCGGCTAGTTTTTCTTATTTTTTATTTTTTCAATACAATAAAACGAGCAAGATTGCTGCCAGAGATATCCGGTTCACAATAAGTATACTGGCAATCATACTCATAATATGAGTGAAGCCTGACCACACTCACATTCAGTGCCAGAAAAAAGACGAGCATTCAAGAACAATCAAGACAAATTCCTTGCTGCTGGTTTGACACGAAGTTCATAAAAACAAATGGGATTCACATATTTTATAGCATTTGCTTATTATTCATAATTCATCTAGAGAGATGGATTCATTAATAATTGCCTTGGCAGCATTTATCATCTCGTTTGAAGTGAATCCATCATCCTTCATGTAGAACAGGTGCAATATTTTTATCATATTCCAAAACAAATCCCTGCAGGGCCTAGGAATTATACCATCCTTTTCCTGCAAAACTAATTGAAGCAGTTGTCTTCTCTGACTGTCAATTAAGCCTTTAATATGTTCAATGGCCTCTTCTTCAGTTACAGCACCACCACTGTGAATCATGTACAATGAGACAGCATTCAATTTCCCTTCTTCGGATTCTCTCTGCAACAAAGTAAACCATAGTTAACAACTAAACACGTTATATCAGACATGAGGCCAAGACCATCACATGTTATATCCCTTGAAAAGAATCATCCATCATCCACCTTAAAGGTTCTCCAGTCATTAAGTAGGCGCCCGCAAGTGCTCATAACCCTAAATAGATTATGCAATTCAGGATTTTCAGCAACCTCCTCGGAAAGCTTAGGCCCCACAAAATAGAGAGCTGGAAGGACAATAGGCCCTAAAGCAAATGATGTATATCCATTTGTCATGTATTCATCAAGGGTTGGCACTGATTTGTTGCTTGACCATTGTGCTTCAGTCAACATGGATTTGAGCAAATCCAACCACTGCAATGCAAAACTGGACCATCATATATTGTTTTTCTCCAATTTAGTTAATATGAAAGATACCAATATTATCATAATTCAGTAGAGAATTCGTCTTACAATCTTGATAACATGACTGCTCACATCGCGTCCTTGCCATCTGACTGATTTATCCCCAATCTCACAAATAGTGGTGTGAAGTGCCGAATATAGTATCTCCACTTTCTCAGAACAAAAGTCAGCACTGCCTTTGGCATCCCACCTGCATTCCATTTTTAACAAATCGTGATTTGAACGGAGGAGAATCATCTAGAGAATAAAGAAACTGAAAGGGGAAACGAAACATACTTCTCAATCAATTGAATAAGGTTTAACAGTTCTTCTTCAGAAGCACCAACATCAAAGAAGTCATCAACGACAGTAGTAAGCACACCATCTTTTGCCCATGACATGCGGGCATCAGATAGTTCAGGAGCAAAGAGAGTTGCTGCAGCAGAGAAGTAACAGTAGCCCTCCTTTTGCCTAGCAAACTTTAGCTTATCCAATCTCCTCTCTACAACCCACCTGTTTACATGACAGAGGTATCATGCTAAAAATAAGGAAGTTATGTTTGAAGTTCCCAACAACAACATAAATGTACTAATCTACATCCGTGATTCAAAATTTTAAGAACTCCAATGACATCAATTTCGAGATCAAGGTCAAGTTGCAACACTAGCAATGAGTAGCTCAACGAAAAGCTGAGATAGGTGAATGCAACAAAGCTAGCTTTGTTGGCCAATTTATCCTGCTCTCAATGCATATTTAATGAAAAATGAAGGCCAGCAAGGCATGGTTCAAAAGCTTGTGTAGAAAATGCACCTCATGATATGTTTAAGTTCTTCACGATGTATTGATTGGCAGATGTTGAAGTCTTCTGCGGCCAATTTGAGAAAATCCTTGCTACTGATAGTTGAACAACTACGAAAAGTAAAAGTACAAGTAACAATACATATATTTCTCCAGCCAAATTAAAAAATTTCTCCAACTAATCAAGAGGTACCGATATGAGGTTTTCAAAATCCTTGGATCATCCGCAGCATAATGTTCAATTCTTCTTCTGATAGCTAAGCGTTGCAAATCTGCATGGTCAGGAAAATTGAGAGCCTCATGCACCTGAAGTGAGGGAAAAATAGCTGAAGTTAGGAATTCCAACGGAACTGAAAATGGCTGTTCTGAGGGATTTGACTATCACGATGTCTCAGGAAAAAAATAAACCTCTGTGGTAATATTTTTACAAAGTCTGTCTCCATAAAGTAAACCATTTGATAATCCCTGTTTCAGTAAATAGCTTGTCCATGAATTTTGTTTTTCCAGAAGTGATTCATCTGGAAAACTTAACTGCAGAGCTCTGTACAACTCTAAGGCAGCCCTTGAATCCTTCATGTATCCTTCCAGTGAGTTAAGGAAACGATCTTCAGAATATTGGCTTATATCTATACCAAATGTTAACCTCATTAAAGCATACTGATTAAAACATCCTCAAAAGATTCAAACATGAAATCTCCCATCTCAAGAAGATACCTGGAGAAACCTCATATCCGTTCAAACGTAATATCCGAAATGTCATTGCACAAGTGGCAATATCAAGAAATATCTCTTCCGCCCCCTGCAACCAGCATCTGTTTGTTTGCTAATGTCATGGTTCACAACAATAGGACCTAATCATGGTCTACTAAGTTAACCAGAACTTTAATGAAGAATTTTGTTAAACATAAGATGAATTCTGTTCTCTAAAAAGTTACTTGCAGCTATAAAACCATCGGTATTTCATTTGCAAAGAGAAAATGGTACATTACCGATATGTTTCATCAAGCACAATTTTTATTTCCTTCCTGAAATGCCGATCGATTCCCAGCCTTTCAAGAGTATCAACCAAAGAAAGACGAGCATATATATCCAATGGATAAATGGTTGGAACTGAAGAAGTCAATAGAAAGTCAATAACTAGATATAAGAGAGATGTGATGCTATAGATAGTGAGCTATGTGGCTGACCTGCATTCCCAAACTTCTGTAAGAGTGAGCGAATATAATGGAGACACTCATCATCTTGAATATGAATAAAAGCAGCTGCTGAGGTGGATGGTGAATTGAACAGTGAGCCATTCTTTCTTTGATATTTCATTACCATTTCCCAATCCTGTAATTTTCCAATTCCTTCTGAAACATATGCCAAGTAAGCTCTCCTTCCCTCCAAGTTCTTGCCATAGCCACTACATATAAAAAGACCAAATGAAAACCAGACCATTCAAATATGATGTATGACAATGTATTTCTAACATTTGGGATCAGTCCAAAGACTCCACACGTTTTTTGGAAAAAAATTTAGTGCACTTTTAGAATTTCAAGAAGGCTTAATGTTCTAGAAAATCACAAACTACATATGTTTTAATGATTTTAGCTCGTTTTTTAAAAATTGTATAGAAAGGTCACCAACTAAGCATTCAATAACAATACTAGCACCAATCTGATTTTCGGACAAAAATTCCGATCAACGTTGACATGATAGATGACGATGCAAGACACGTGGACTTTAGCAAGCTATGTAGGATCCACATTATTGATTTTCCACATCACTGCTTACATGGATCCTACGTGGCTTTCTAAAGTCCATGTACCATGCTTACATGGACTGCCATGTCATTGTTGATCAGAATTTTGGTCAAAAAATCAGATCGGTGCTAATATTGTTATCGGAGACATAGTTAGTGAACTTTCTATACAATTTTTTAAAAACGAGCTAAAATCATTAAAAAATGTATAGTTCGCGATTTTCTAGAACATCAAGCCTTTCAAGAATTGAAACCTGTTTTAGACCTAGCTTCTATAGAGCAATGAAAAGCTCTACTAAGCAAAGCTCAGCCAGCTAAACCCACTTTCAAGGCAATGGTTGGTTGAGCTTGAACAGCCTAATCCTTCCTACCTTGAAAAAAATCCAATTTGTCTCTTGTTGTAGTTTGCTATCATTGTTATGAAAAGAAGCTTTCCGAACATATATGTGAAAGCAACACAAAACAGCAAATAAATTAGGTAGAATTTTACCTTCTAAGCTCCAAATCCCTCCTGTGGAGCATGGCATCTATATCTGTTGAATTCAAAGGGAGGTTCAAGTCCAAATCTTTGGCATATTCAAGCATACCAGGAAATATTATATCAAAACCAAATGGTGTATGTTGTTCCTTGTCGGTAACTGAAGCGGAATTCAACTCAATAAATCGAAAGCCTGCAACAAAGGAGAGAGTATTTATCCAGCTTACATACCTCTTCTGCTTAATCACGCATTTTTGTCACCTGAGAATTGTTGCTAAATGCTTATTATAAAGTATAAGAGTACCTTTATTCATTTGCTCTTCACCAATACCCCAACGCTTCAATGCAAGGATGCACGCTAATGTAGATGAAACAGCATCCTTAACTAATAATGGATGGCGATGAGGAAGACTCCAAGAGCCATCACCGAGTTGATTATCCAAAATCCACTTTGTGCACTCTGGAAAACAAGGAGTTTCTGGACAATTTGGAGATGGGACCATTGCTACCCAAGCAGTGTCATATGAAGAAACTGACAGTTCAATCTTATCGAACATCTTCTTAATCCTTTCCTTAGTTCCATGAAAGTTCTGCATGATTAAAAATGGAAAATCATTGAGCGCACTGTTCAATCCCTTAATTTCTCACAGAACAGACGGAACAATATAAATCAATTGCAGTATCAGATACCAGACTGGTCGTCTTGAATTCTTCTGTGACTAATTTTGATGCAGGGTCTGTCAAAGTTTCTTCATGAAAGGAAGATTGGCCACGGAGAAAGAAAGCAAGTCATTCATCATGAATTATTTTTATATTACAGATTTGAGAGTGCATCCAAGAAAACAAAAAACATGGAACTCCAAATAAATAGTAGAAAATTAAAATCAAATAATCAACCTTGTTATATGCGCACTGATTCATCAGAATCTTAACAGGACTACTATAAATCTAGCTTATTGTTAAAGTACTGATCACTGACAGGAGAAAACAAAGAATGCTCTATTCAATAGTACTTCCATTTCTTTCTTCTAAGTTTTAACCTAAAAGAACTCAATAACCAAAGATAGCTATAGTCATTTTCATTCCCCAGTAAGTATGACTTAACTATGTATAAAGTAAGCTACATTTGTACAATGTTTAAAATTCACAAAAATTACAAAATTCAAATAACACATAATATAACATAATTCTACAACAAAAGAAACACAGCAAAAAAAAAAATCAATAATAATAATAAATAAATAAACTTGAATGCATGATTGCACGGTCCAAATAGCCAAAAACCCATAAAAGTCCCGAGTGAGAGAACCTGATACACAAGAAGCGCAGAAGTTGGGACGACTGCAAGACATGGCAGGTAGTTGCCAAGAACTATTGCAACAAAAGTTCCTGTTATCCTCGCAAACAGTCTTCAAAAATAGACTTTAAGCACAGAAAAAAGATAGAGACAGATAGATATTTAAAGAGAGAAAACATGTGAGAAACGAGTTCAGAAAACTGGACAGGACACGTACTAGGAATGGAATCAGAGGGCAAGCAGACACGCTACCAGGTAATGTACTGAACAAAAAGAGAATTTAGTTGGTTAGCAATAGAAATATTGTTAGTCGCTGCTTGCTGTCTCTCTCTCTCTAGACATGCATTTGGTCACATTGGTTTTTACTTCGTAAAGCACGCCAGTGGCCACCTTCACCGAATATGCTTTCTTTCCTTTTAAGACCCGGACATGTATCATTATTCCTCCAACCAGCATTTATTTTACTTTTTTCCTAACCCTTTTTTTCCTTTTTTTTTTTTTTTGGTTTCCTTTTTTGGGTGTCTCTTTCTATTTGTTTTGGAGTGGGGAATCTGAGTGTGGACACAGCGAATGGTGAAAGTCTCTAGTGTTTAACCCACCAACTGGTTGGCTCAGATGGCTGGCTTGCTGCTTCCCAATCCTCATTCGGACTAGAGTTCCGCTGCATGTTGCGAAGACAAAACTGATAGATTTAAAGTCATCATATTAAAAAACAAAAATAAAAATTGTTGATGACCATGGAAGTATAGCTTTTGGACGAAGATTGTTGTTTCTTTATTTTTTGTTTAATTGTTATGAAATAGTTGGTAGTTTCTTATTTCACTTCAAACCCAGAGTTATTCCCCAAAAAAAAAAAAAAAAAAACACTTCAATTACAGTGTAAGAAAAATATTGGATGGTTTTTTTAGAAAAGAGAAAAGGAATAAATGCTATGATTATGTTTTGAAGCGAAAATTGATGAATTAACTCTTCAAATAAACTTTAACATCATTTTTTATGAAGTCAAATTAGTTAAACGAAAAAACCATTCTAAAAATCCGATTTTGAATCCTTTCATATTCCTTTAGGAACATAATCGATCATATTTTAATCTAATAATTAATTTTTAATTTAATTATTTTTATTAGATAAGAGATAAAATAATATATAGTTAAATTGTTATTATTTTATCATGAATTAAATTATGTTCATTCAATTTAATTATCTTTATTAGGCAAGAGAAATAAAATAATAAAACAATTAAGTTATTACTATCTTTGTCATGCATTAAATTATTTCCATTCAATTTAATTATCTTTATTAAGCAAGAGAAATAAAATGATGAAAAGTAAGTTGTCAGTATTCTTATTATACATTAAATCACGTACATTCAATTAAATTCAATAGTTTACATTTAATAACATGACAAAAATTTTAAACTGCTAAATGAATGAGTAATTACCTATTCTTATTTTATACCCTAATTTGAGGAGAGAGAAAAACAAAATAAAAGGAGGAATTTTTTTTCTATTGTAAAATAAATAATAACAATAATAGAATTGGAGAAAAAGATAATAAAAAAAAACGAATTTCACTATGAAATAACTCCAAACAATTTTCTCAATCTCTACAAAACATTTCTATATAAACTAATGAATAATCAAACTTATTTATAGGCTTTAAGATTAAGAAGAGAATTAAAAGAAACTATGAATCATTTAAAAGGTGCATAAATAAGTGAATCAATTGCATCATCATTTTAATTTTCATATTGAATGGTGAATTAAATCACAAGAGTAGTTGGAATATGTAATAATCATGGATATTCATTATTTTATAACACTCCTTAAATGTCCATCGTATAAGAAACATGCCTCTTTAGAACCTTATTAGGAAAAAATCCTAGTAAGAAAAAAAAAAAACAATATTCCTTGTACAATTAATCTCTATGTTGGGCTCCCCTATTAAAAACATTATTTAAGATCGTTAACATGACTCATCCTAGTCTTAGATACTATTTTCTCAAAAGTTATGATAATTAATGCCTTAGTGAATAAGTTCGTCGGATTATCATTTTGATGTATTCTTCCTTTAATTGACTTGTGTAACTAACATTATCTTCACATGATAATGTTAGAACTTTTTACTAGTAGATAAACCGCATGTCTTTTGGATATGAAGAGTCATTGATCTTAATAAAATACATTTTTGACTTGCCTCATTAATTTGTATTTACGTATGGTTTGAATATGTAGTAGTTACACTTTGCTTCATAAAATATCATGACATAGTTGTATCATCATGTGTAAATACATAACATGTTTGTGATCGAGTTTTGTATGGATCACATAAATAACTTGCATAACCAATTAATCTTGTCTTTGATTTATTATAGTAAAATAAGCTCATATCAATGGTTCATCGAAGATAATGTAGGATATGTTTAATTTCATTCCAATGTCTTCGTGTTGGAGCGAGCTATATCTTACTAATAAATTTATAAAAAATGTTATATGAGGTCGGATATTATTAGGAAGATACATTAATGTATCAATTATATTAAAATATGATACTTTAGGACTAAATGGTTTTTTGTTATCTTCTCGAAGTTGAAAAAATCTTTTTGAATGTCAAGTGAACGAAGTACCATTGGGCTACCCAATGGATGAGCTTTATATAGAATCATTGTAAAACTTTTTCTATATAAATTGTTTTCTATATAAATTAACTCATGAATAAAAATCTCATTCTCTAAGTTTTCAAACTGCAAATCGAGATAAAATTTTATTTTTTCAAGATATTTCATATCAAATTTCTTTTTAGATAATTTATGACACTTGAAATCTCTTTAGGAGTTTTAATAATATTTAAATCATCAACATACATAATAATTATTAGAAACCTTTTTTTGAATTTCTTTATAAAAATACATTAACAAATAGAGTTATTTTTATAATATTTTTTCAATAAATATTCATTGAAGCGATCAAATGCACACATGTTAATAATAAAGAGTAGCTATTGAAATATATATATATATATATATATATATATATATATATATATATATATATATATATATATATATAACATAAATTTAATTAAATTTATTTTTCAAAAATGTGTATTACTTGATTCGAGCATCTTAAGTCCTTTTATGACTTTCATATAAATATCATTTTAAGTGAATAAATAAGTTGTGATCACATTTATTAAATGCATGTACATGAAGTTTTTCATATATTTTACCGGAGTTAACGAGATAACAAAATGTAATTACGAAAACTTTTATGTTACAAGTCTTGCTTTGTATCTTAGAATCTCGTTTTCTTATTTCTTTTTTTCCATAAATACCCATTTGTATCAAACTAGCTATATCTTCGGATGTTTTGACTATGGATTAAAAAAATACTTATTTTATAAGAGACCATAATGCTCGCTTAGATTACTTTTTTCATTAAGGTCAACAATCTATATGTCGACATTTGTTCAATAAATTTAGGCTCATGATCCTTATTTTTATTCACAATATCAATTACAACATTATATGTAAAAATGTTATCAATAAATGTTGTTTTTCGGTCTTATTTTCTCCATGTATTGACATAATTTATTAAAGTCTCTTGATGTTCTTGAGCATTTGAATTTCTTCTATAAGCCTATTATCATAAATATCTTGGATCATTTTATGAATATTTATATATTTTATATTTTTATCTTGATTATTTGTCCTTTTCTTTAAAAATTTTTTGTCTTTAGAGCCGATCAGTCTTCCACGCTTCGGACATGCTTTAGATTCATTTGCTATAATATTAATAGATTATCCTTATCGGATATCAATTATAATATGAGTGTTCTCAACAAGGACATACATTTTAGATCCGAGAATGCATTTGCGGTTGGTTTATAAGATTTTATAAATGAATTATCTTCTGAACTTCTAATTCATATTATTCTATGTAAGGATCAAAAGAATATAAAAATAGAGTACTCTATGTAATCTATTTATCCAATATTTCCATCTCGTTTATTTTGCTTATTCTCTCCCCTAATGTTGGAAGAATCATTTCATCAAAATTAATATCTAAATAGTTCATATGGTGGATGAATTGGTCCACATATATTATCTTGAATACGTTCAAAAATATTAAAGATTCAATTTTAAGTTTACTTGGTGATGGTTTACTAATCGGTTTGCCTTGAGAACATGCGAATATGAAAATCCATTAGATTGAATAATCTTCTAGCTCTTCAATAAATGTTCATATAATTTTTTAATAATTTTTTTGTATCATAAAAGACTCATGATAGTCTAGCCGGTCATGCCACATAATAAAAGTATTTAAATTAGTAAACTTCTAATTTACTATAGCATTTTTTTTAATGATTTGAAATAAAGATCGAAGAGAAAACGAGGTAATTTCTACAATATATGTTTTCTACCCCAATGTAATAATTATAATACATAAATATTTAATATTTTTCACATTTACTTGTTTTGATATAATATCCATTTAGATGAATATCTTTGAAACTCATCAAATGTTCATGAGACTTTAGAAAGAATAGTGCGTTTTTTATAATAAAATTTATCCTTTCATGTAATAATATATTTACTCGTCTAGAGTTTTTAAATTTTGTCATTGCAAGTAATAATATATTCGTTTTTCTAGAGCCTTTAAAAGTTGTCTCTTCAAGTAACAATATATTTGTTTTTTTAAAGCCTTCAAAATTTAACTTTTCATATAATAATATAGTCGTTTTTCTAGAGCTTTACGTTATATTAATATTATCGGATATAATATTAATAAATAAAAAATAAACAAAAAATAAATATATATATTATTTATATAAATAAATAAATAGCGAAATAAATTTGTAACTATCACTATGTAATAGAAATTAAACGAAAATGTAAAATATCTTATTTATACATATAAAAGTTAAGAGGTTATTAATTTTAATTATCATCGTTTTAATATACAAAACCGGGTTCTATATTTTGCTCTTTCTTTTCAATGTTGCATTATAAAGCTCAAAGAGGTGTTTTGGTGAATAGAAGATCTAGATACACAATCAATGTTCCTTTATACCATACCAGGTAACATTTATTTTCGGAATGATGGCTTAATCCACTTTTATCTTTATTTATTTTTTCATAGTTTGTCCACTTCGGTGCTGAGATGTATTATTGTGATCACTATAGTTTATCCACATCTAGTAAAAATTCATTATTTTGACTACTATAATTTGTCTACTTCTTTGTGGTAAGATGTATTATTATGAATACTATGATTATACGATAATTGTTTCAAACCATGATAATGGTTATGTTTACGATCACATTTATGTCTAGAATTATCATAAGTCGTCATGTTCACTTAAGGGAATCAAGTAGAACTAGTTGAACGAAATTCATGATTTTTCATCAATAACTCGTTATTTTGTTCAAGAATATGAAATTAATTTAGAATATTTTAAAACCTTTTTTCTTGATATTACTATTGCATGAGCATATTCTAGGCATCAAAAGAAAATATTTTCTCAAAATCAAGCACTCGTAATCAATAATTCTTGTTCAAAATACCAAGGGTCACAAAATCAAGTTTAGAAGGTTTGATATAATAAAAATTCTATAATGCAATATATAATAATAAAGTTGGAAAACAATAACAAACATAATAATAA